CCGTTAGATAACCGCAGAACTTGGTAGGTCCCCTCCCTCCCTTATCCACACTTTCCTCAGAAGTTTGCAGACATTGTGTCTGGCCTCGCTCCTCTTATGAAAGACAAAAATAATAATGGCTGGAAAAGCATGGTGACCTTTTTTGGAAAGATTAAGCAAGATGAGATATTACGTAATACGTAGTGGCGTAAAGTGCAGACCCAGAGACCCAAAAGTCTTCAACACAGGGAGGGATGGATGGATGGATGGATAGATGGATAGATAGATAGATAGATGGATAGATAGATGATAGATAGATAGACAGAAGGATAGATGATAGATAGATAGAATGATGGATGGAATTGTTATAGAATATCGTGCAAAAGTTATATTTTTGATGATTATGGCTTACAGCTTATGAAAACCCCAAATTCAAAATCTCAGAAAATTAGAATATTACATGAAATCCATAAAAAAAAGGATTTTAAATACAGAAATGTCGGCCCTCTGAAAAGTATAATTATGCAAATGTATATAGTTACATATATATGTATATATATATATATACACAAAATATATTAGTTTCACCTTTTAATTTGAATTACTGAAATACACAAACTTTTGCACTATATTCTAATTTTTCGAGTTTCACCTGTAAAACCGCATGTTAAACTGAACAGCCGGAACACATGAGAGTTTCATTAGAACCAGATATCAGACTAAATGTTGTCATTTTATTATCCACATCAGTTCTTATAAGACTAGCACAGAATTACAAGACCCAAGCATCGTCAGGACAACTTCATCTAAATTATATAATAGTCCTTTCAAATCGATTAATCGCGATTAGTTGCATCTAAGATAAAAGTTTGTGTAACTTTTATAATATATGTATGCTATGCATACATATACACTCACCTAAAGGATTAGTAGGAACACCTGTTCAATTTCTCATTAATGCAATTATCTAATCAACCAATCACATGGCAGTTGCTTCAATGCATTTAGGGGTGTGGTCCTGGTCAAGACAATCTCCTGAACTCCAAACTGAATGTCAGAATGGGAAAGAAAGGTGATTTAAGCAATTTTGAGCGTGGCATGGTTGTTGGTGCCAGACGGGCCGGTCTGAGTATTTCACAATCTGCTCAGTTACTGGGATTTTCACGCGCAACCATTTCTAGGGTTTACAAAGAATGGTGTGAAAAGGGAAAAACATCCAGTATGCGGCAGTCCTGTGGGCGAAAATGCCTTGTTGATGCTAGAGGTCAGAGGAGAATGGGCCGACTGATTCAAGCTGATAGAAGAGCAACTTTGACTGAAATAACCACTCGTTACAACCGAGGTATGCAGCAAAGCATTTGTGAAGCCACAACACGCACAACCTTGAGGCGGATGGGCTACAACAGCAGAAGACCCCACCGGGTACCACTCATCTCCACTACAAATAGGAAAAGGAGGCTACAATTTGCAAGAGCTCACCAAAATTGAACAGTTGAAGACTGGAAAAATGTTGCCTGGTCTGATGAGTCTCGATTTCTGTTGAGACATTCAGATGGTAGAGTCAGAATTTGGCGTAAACAGAATGAGAACATGGATCCATCATGCCTTGTTACCACTGTGCAGGCTGGTGGTGGTGGTGTAATGGTATGGGGGATGTTTTCTTGGCACACTTTAGGCCCCTTGGTGCCAATTGGGCATCGTTTAAATGCCACGGCCTACCTGAGCATTGTTTCTGACCATGTCCATCCCTTTATGGCCACCATTTAACCATCCTCTGATGGCTACTTCCAGCAGGATAATGCACCATGTCACAAAGCTCGAATCATTTCAAATTGGTTTCTTGAACATGACGATGAGTTCACTGTACTAAAATGGCCCCCACAGTCACCAGATCTCAACCCAAAAGAGCATCTTTGGGATGTGGTGGAACGGGAGCTTCGTGCCCTGGATGTGCATCCCACAAATCTCCATCAACTGCAAGATGCTATCCTATCAATATGGGCCAACATTTCTAAAGAATGCTTTCAGCACCTTGTTGAATCAATGCCACGTAGAATTAAGGCAGTTCTGAAGGCGAAAGGGGGTCAAACACAGTATTAGTATGGTGTTCCTAATAATCCTTTAGGTGAGTGTATGTGCGCACACACACACATATTATATAAACACTTATAAAAACTTTAGATACGACTAATCGCGATTATTCGATTTGACAGCACTATAATATATATATATATTAGATGTTCAAAAAACAATTGAGAGGTACAATCATGGTTATTATCATTAACAAACTATTAAAAACACGTCTGTTAACTGAAATAAAGCTGAAATAAAATAAAAAATAAATATTAGTTTTAAAAAAACTTTCAACAAAAAATTTGAAATGTTGCCTTGGCAATAAACTGACATTTGAAGCACTAAATCTAAATGGAAATAAATAAAAGCTAACCCTGAAATAAACATCGAGCCGTCCGCTGACTGTGCCTGGTGTGATCGCTGACTGTGCCTGGTGTGATCGCTGACTGTACCTGGTGTGATCGCTGACTGTACCTGGTGTGATCGCTGACTGTACCTGGTGTGATCGCTGACTGTGCCTGGTGTGATCGCTGACTGTGCCTGGTGTGATCGCTGACTGTACCTGGTGTGATCGCTGACTGTACCTGGTGTGATCGCTGACTGTACCTGGTGTGATCGCTGACTGTACCTGGTGTGATCGCTGACTGTACCTGGTGTGATCGCTGACTGTGCCTGGTGTGATCGCTGACTGTGCCTGGTGTGATCGCTGACTGTGCCTGGTGTGATCGCTGACTGTACCTGGTGTGATCGCTGACTGTACCTGGTGTGATCGCTGACTGTACCTGGTGTGATCGCTGACTGTACCTGGTGCTGACTGTACCTGGTGTGATCGCTGACTGTACCTGGTGCTGACTGTACCTGGAGTGATCGCTGACTGTACCTGGAGTGATCGCTGACTGTACCTGGAGTGATCGCTGACTGTACCTGGAGTGATCGCTGACTGTACCTGGTGTGATCGCTGACTGTACCTGGTGTGATCGCTGACTGTACCTGGAGTGATCGCTGACTGTACCTGGTGTGATCGCTGACTGTACCTGGTGTGATCGCTGACTGTACCTGGTGTGATCGCTGACTGTACCTGGAGTGATCGCTGACTGTACCTGGAGTGATCGCTGACTGTACCTGGAGTGATCGCTGACTGTGCCTGGTGTGATCGCTGACTGTGCCTGGTGTGATCGCTGACTGTGCCTGGTGTGATCGCTGACTGTGCCTGGTGTGATCGCTGACTGTACCTGGTGTGATCGCTGACTGTACCTGGTGTGATCGCTGACTGTGCCTGGTGTGATCGCTGACTGTACCTGGAGTGATCGCTGACTGTACCTGGAGTGATCGCTGACTGTACCTGGAGTGATCGCTGACTGTACCTGGAGTGATCGCTGACTGTACCTGGAGTGATCGCTGACTGTACCTGGAGTGATCGCTGACTGTACCTGGAGTGATCGCTGACTGTACCTGGTGTGATCGCTGACTGTACCTGGTGTGATCGCTGACTGTACCTGGAGTGATCGCTGACTGTACCTGGAGTGATCGCTGACTGTACCTGGTGTGATCGCTGACTGTACCTGGTGTGATCGCTGACTGTACCTGGTGTGATCGCTGACTGTACCTGGAGTGATCGCTGACTGTACCTGGAGTGATCGCTGACTGTGCCTGGTGTGATCGCTGACTGTGCCTGGTGTGATCGCTGACTGTGCCTGGTGTGATCGCTGACTGTGCCTGGTGTGATCGCTGACTGTACCTGGTGTGATCGCTGACTGTACCTGGTGTGATCGCTGACTGTGCCTGGTGTGATCGCTGACTGTACCTGGTGTGATCGCTGACTGTACCTGGTGTGATCGCTGACTGTGCCTGGTGTGATCGCTGACTGTACCTGGTGTGATCGCTGACTGTGCCTGGTGTGATCGCTGACTGTGCCTGGTGTGATCGCTGACTGTGCCTGGTGTGATCGCTGACTGTACCTGGTGTGATCGCTGACTGTACCTGGAGTGATCGCTGACTGTACCTGGTGTGATCGCTGACTGTACCTGGTGTGATCGCTGACTGTACCTGGTGTGATCGCTGACTGTACCTGGTGTGATCGCTGACTGTACCTGGTGTGATCGCTGACTGTACCTGGTGTGATCGCTGACTGTACCTGGTGTGATCGCTGACTGTACCTGGTGTGATCGCTGACTGTACCTGGTGTGATCGCTGACTGTACCTGGTGTGATCGCTGACTGTACCTGGAGTGATCGCTGACTGTACCTGGTGTGATCGCTGACTGTACCTGGAGTGATCGCTGACTGTACCTGGTGTGATCGCTGACTGTACCTGGTGTGATCGCTGACTGTACCTGGTGTGATCGCTGACTGTACCTGGTGTGATCGCTGACTGTGCCTGGTGTGATCGCTGACTGTACCTGGAGTGATCGCTGACTGTGCCTGGTGTGATCGCTGACTGTGCCTGGTGTGATCGCTGACTGTGCCTGGTGTGATCGCTGACTGTACCTGGTGTGATCGCTGACTGTACCTGGTGTGATCGCTGACTGTACCTGGAGTGATCGCTGACTGTACCTGGTGTGATCGCTGACTGTACCTGGTGTGATCGCTGACTGTGCCTGGTGTGATCGCTGACTGTGCCTGGTGTGATCGCTGACAGTGCCTGGTGTGATCGCTGACTGTACCTGGTGTGATCGCTGACTGTACCTGGTGTGATCGCTGACTGTACCTGGTGTGATCGCTGACTGTACCTGGTGTGATCGCTGACTGTACCTGGTGTGATCGCTGACTGTACCTGGTGTGATCGCTGACTGTACCTGGTGTGATCGCTGACTGTACCTGGTGTGATCGCTGACTGTACCTGGTGTGATCGCTGACTGTGCCTGGTGTGATCGCTGACAGTGCCTGGTGTGATCGCTGACTGTACCTGGTGTGATCGCTGACTGTACCTGGTGTGATCGCTGACTGTACCTGGTGTGATCGCTCGGTGGAACTGGTGTAGATCTTCTCCTCTCAGTTCTTCTGCGATCTGTCCGATCTTCTGCCTCACGCTGTCCAGCTTCACATCGGCCTCGTTCAGGATCTCCTCAACATCGGGAACACTGACGCAGTGCAGCGGAAAACACACTCATGCTTATTTACAGTGAAGACACTTCGGGAAACACTCATACAGTATAATGACATACACAACCTAAACGTTACTTTGTACTATAATGCAAGGTTTTCCTTTGGCTTATATTCCTTTTTATCAATTATCAGATTCTAAGTCAACCAATTTATTAAAACAAAAACAATTCTATCCATACATCTATCCTTCTGTCTATCTATCTATCTATCTATCTATCTATCTATCTATCTATCTATCTATTTATCTATCTATCCATCATCATTCTATCTATCTATCTATCTATCTATCTATCTATCATCTATCCTTCTGTCTATCTATCTAACTATCCATCATCATTCTATCCATCATCATTCTATCTATCTAATCTATCCATCCATCCATCCATCCATCCATCCATCCATCCATCCATTTATCCATCCATCCATCTTTCTATCATCTATCCTTCTGTCTATCTATCTTTCTACCTATCCATCCTATCTATCTATCTATCCATCCATCCATCCATCCATCCATCCATCCATCCATCCATCCATCCATCCATCCATCCATCCATCCATCCATCCATCCATCCATCCATCCATCCATCCATCCATCCATCCATCTATCTATCTATCTACAGTGGTGTGAATAAGTTATTACCCCCATGCTAAAGTTGCCTAAAAAGAGGAATAAAAAATCATCTTTTGGAAATTGATCTTAATGCCTTAATTAGAAAAATGAGGCAAAATCCAACCTTTAAGGACACCAATTTTCTTTGTGCATGAATAATGTATCATAAATAAATAAATGTTCTTCCTTAAAATACAGGGTGCATAAGTCAGGCAGGCATGTTAAAGTCTATGTTAAATTCCCATAGAGTCAGGCAGATTTTTATTTTTAAAGGCCAGTTATTTCATGGATCCAGGATAATATGCATCCTGATAAAGTTCCCTTGGCCTTTGGAATTAAAATATCCCACATCATCACATTCCCTTCACCATACCTAGAGATTGGCATGGTGTTATTTCAGTTAGCCTAATAGCTGGTTTGATTTGCATTGAAAGATGATCTTATGGAAAGTACCCCATGCCAATCTCTAGGTATGGTGAAGGGAATGTGATGATGTGGGTCTATTTTAATTCCAAAGGCCAAGGGAACTTTATCAGGATGCATATTATCCTGGATCCATGAAATAACTGGCCTTTAAAAATAAAAATCTGCCTGACTCTATGGGAATTTAACATAGGGGGGCCTGACTTATGCACCCTGTATTTTAAGGAAGAACATTTATTTATTTATGATACATTATTCATACACAAAGAAAATTGGTGTCCTTAAAGGTTGGATTTTTCCTCATTTTTCTAATTAAGGCATTAAGATCAATTTCCAAAAGATGATTTTTTATTCCTCTTTTTAGGCAACTTTAGCATGGGGGTAATAACTTATTCACACCACTGTATCTATCTGTAAAGTATTTCGCTACCTATTCACTTTATTTGACTATTTTCTCAAATATATATATATATATGATAAGTTTGTACATATAGAACATATATCATGTACATAAGCAAGTTGTTGAATGGATCTCACCTGGTCACTCTGTGCAGGAGGAATATGGTCCGTTTGCTCTCAATAGTGATATCTCGACTGCTTTTCACCAAACGCTCATATTTATCATGCTTGGTGTCCAGTTCTTGCTGGAATACTGTCAGAGAAACCAGTAAATATGTCAGATTCATTCATCTGGTGTCGTTAACACATGCCCCGCACACACACACACACAAACTCACCTTTGAAAGCAGCAATGACAGCTGAATCTGAGTTCATACAGTTCTCGGATTTCTGTCCGACTTCTGTCCTTCGTCTTCGGCCGCATCCCTCGTCTAAGAGGAGCATGAAAAGCATATAATTACATAAATAAGAACATAAGTCACCGTCACGGCAATCTAAAAGCAACCGATTCTTAGTACGAGGATTTCTGCATGAAAAAAATGTTTTTAAACTGCATCCGTGAAGTGAAAGACGTCGTCAGGCTTTACCATCTCGTTTACTCATCTCTGTAGTAAAGTGTTTTTCTCTGGACACGTGAACTTTTCGGTTATGTACAGTAAACTCTTTTATTTTACCAGCTGATTGTGATTTTAGTGCGTGTAAATCCAGCTGAACGCCTTTATCGTGGGTTTACACGTGTGCCTGTTTGATTACGTACTTCCGCAAATATAAAACCTAGAAACAACTTATTTTATAAATGTGTAATAAAACTGTGCATTCGTTATAAAAGCAGAGATTTACGTCCGACTCGGTTTAATTTGAAAGCTGGCACGCACACGGACTTCCATTGTTTACACGGGACTTGCGCGTATTGATTGCGTGCTACCGCAAGACATTCTGGGTAATGTAGTTTAACCTGGTCCATTGACTTCCGAGGTTATTTTTAGCCCAGTAGTAAAAGTGTTCTTCTTTAAATGATTTAGGTGCTCAAACCTTCGTTTAAAAAATGTAGAAAGCATATATTTTCATAACTGTTTTTATGTCAAAGTAATTTTTATATTATTTTCTTATAAACTTCTAAAGCACTTCAAAAAATCAAAATGTGGAATGAAAAGAAAAAGAAATGAAAATAAAATGAATTAAATGAAAATAAAATTAAATGAAAAATGAAAGGAAAAAACAGAAAGGAAATGAACGAATGAATGAATGAACAAACGAACAAACTAATGAATAAAAATGAATGACAAGGTGTAGATTCTTAAAAAAAAGTATTGTAGTGGTACCATTGTACATTGTTCCATATTCATATACAATGATATTTACATCATGTTTCCTCAGAGAATATTTCTATAGAAATATACTATCACTACTCTCATGGTCATGGCACGGGATAAAACAAATTGAACACACACACACACACACACACACACACAGAGAGAGAGAGAGAGAGAGAGAGAGAGAGAGAGAGAGAGAGAGAGAGAGAGAGAGAGAGAGAGAGAGAGAGAGAGAGAGAGAGAGAGAGAGAGAGAGAGAGAGAGAGAGAGAGAGAGAGAGAGAGAGAGAGAGAGAGAGAGAGAGAGAGAGAGAGAGAGAGAGAGAGAGAGAGAGAGAGAGAGAGAGAGAGGTTTTCTCCTCCATTGCACATACAGTAGGCCTATATCAGATTACAGTTCTTCCTCATGAACTTCAGCCTGAAGGATTGATGCCAACTGTGTACGTGCCACCCAGAGCCTCCTCACTGTCTGAACTGGTGCCCGCGAGCTCCTATAGGGGGCAGTGGACAACAAAATAAACATCATGAAATTACATTTATCTGCATTTTATTGAAATCCCATATATTTGCTTGCTTAGCAACTTGAACAAATGTGACGTGGTTATTTAGATCACAGTCTTTTAGATGCCACGGACCCCCAAATATTATAATATCATAAATATGTGTAAAATATGCTATTTATTTTATATTTTGTTACATATTACGTTTTTTCTTCTACAGTACTGTGTTGTTAGATGTAGGCCTATTATTTATTTGTTTAAATATTTAATTTATTATTTAATATTGTAATCAAAGTTTTTATCTATTTAGCCTACTTTTATTTTATTATTATTTTTTCATTTTAGATTTTTTTTAAAATCAGTTTTTCTCTAAACCTTCCCACGGACCCCCAGCACTTGGCCGGACCCCAGTTTGAAACCCCCTGATTTAGACCGATTTATTTTCGCCTAGAACTGAGAATATGTACTTAATACTCCAACCCATTTACATGAATGACATTGCTAAACAATGCATCCACTGTCTCAAAAAAAGCCATTCGTTTTTCATTAACTCTGCTTTTTTTTAGTGTTATAGTAACTTGTTTACTAACTAGTAAGAATATCTAGTATGAAATAGGCTTACCACCCAAAAATTTAAATTCACTAATTATTCCCCCTCATGTTGTTCCAAACCTGTTAGTCTTTCATTCATTTCAGAACACAAATGAAGATCTTCTGATGTAATCTGAGAGATTTCTGTCCCTCCATTGACAGCGCAACTACCACTGACGCTTCATAAAGTTCATAAAGAGATCGTAAAACTCCATTTGAATTGAGAGGTTTAGTCCGAATCTTCTGAAGAGACTCAATTGCTTTAAATGATGAACAGATTTCATTAAGACTTTTATTCACATATAAAATTGATCAACGAACATAAACAGAAGCTCAACCGAACATGCTTGACACACGAGAATGAACCTCATTGGCTCTTGTAAAGCTCAAACGTGATGCGTAACACGAGAAGGAACCTCATTGGCTCTTGTAGAAGCTCAAACGTGATGCGTAACACGAGAATGAACCTCATTGGCTCTTGTAGAAGCTCAAACGTGATGCGTAACACGAGAATGAACCTCATTGGCTCTTGCAGAAGCTAAAACGTGATGCGTAACACGAGAATGAACCTCATTGGTTCTTACTGAAACTCAAACGTGATGCGTAACACGAGAATGAACCTCATTGGCTCTCGTAGAAGCTCAAACGTGATGTGTAACACGAGAATGAACCTCATTGGTTCTTACTGAAACTCAAACGTGATGCGTAACACGAGAATGAACCTCATTGGCTCTTGTAGAAGCTCAAACGTGATGCGTAACACGAGAATGAACCTCATTGGTTCTCACACGTCAATCGACTATGCTTGAGCTTATGATGTGAGTTGATGAATGTTGCCTGTTCATCACATAAGCGATCGAGTATCTTCAGGAAAATTTTGACTAAACCGCTCAATTCATATGGATTAGTTTTACGATCTCTTTATGAACTTTTTGAAGCGTCAAAGTGGCAGTTGTGTTGCTGTCAATGGAGGGACAGAAAACTCTCAGATTTCATCAAAAATATCTTCATTTGTCTTCCGAAGATGAACGAAAGTCTTACGGGTTTGGAACAACATGAGGGAGAGTAATAAATGACAGAATTTAATAATATAATAATATATAATAAATATAGTTCAGATTATGTTTATGAATTAATTTCAGCAGGTCGAGTTAAATTCAGTTTATTTAAATGCAAAAAAAAAGTAATTGTCATTTTTGCATCTCATTCTAGTGACGGCACAGATAAAACTGAATTCGGTTCATTTGAGCGAATCGGCTCATGCGGACCCCCGTCGACCTGATCTAAAACCTGAAGCCTTTGTCTTAGTAGACTCAAAGCCTTGCTAATTAGGCCACCTACCTACTACTAACAAAGACATTACCATTTTAAAATCCTTCTGAATGCGACAGATCTTGAGCGAACACAGTAATTCAATTCCCCACTTAGGCTAACCCGCTTTCAGAGTGTGTGTGTGAATGTGAATGAAATAAGGCGGGGCATAGTATTTATCAGGTCTGAACCCCTTGACCACGCCCCTCGTGTCTGACGTCAGAGGTTTGGTTTGTACTGGCGACGTGCAGAACGCACACCAACACAACCACGCGCATGAGGAGCGCGCCTGCGGGATGGAGCGCGCGCGGCACGATCCCATACCCATCCGTTTATTTAACGGAGAAAGGGTGAATATACTTGTGTGATGAAACGGATACGGTTGTTGGTTTGCGTTTGTTGAGGCGGACGCGTTGTGCGTGGATCAACGTGAAAGTTATCCGCAGGAACGCGTGGGGAAGGACACGATTTAAAGGGCCAGCAGCGCGCAAACAAGAACATGGAGCGATGCCCTACTGTTTTGGATCCAGACCGGGATAAACAGTATTGCGAGCTGTGTGGCAAGATGGAAAACCTTTTAAAGTGCGGTCGGTGCCGGATCTCCTTCTACTGCAGCAAAGAACATCAGAAACAGCACTGGAAAAAACATAAACTCACCTGCAAAGAGGCTGGAAAGACCCAGATTGTGGCACAAACTTCACAGCTGCAGGAGAAAGCAGCTGATCCAACACTGTTCACCAGAAGTGAAAGCTCAGAAACTGACAGCAGCAACACAAAACACAAACCCCAAACACTAAAACTGGCCACGGAGTACATAATCCCATGTATGAACAAACATGGCATTTGTGTCGTGGACAACTTTCTGGGTGAAGACATAGGATTGTCCATTTTAGATGATGTGAAAGCTCTTCATCAGGCTGGTAAATTCACTAACGGACAGCTGGTGAGTCAGAAAAGTGACTCTTCTAAGGACATAAGGGGGGATAAAATCACTTGGATCGAGGGGAAGGAGCCTGGATGCGAGAAGATCTGCTTCTTGATGAGTCGCATGGACGACCTGGTCAGGAATTGCAATGGAAATCTGGGAAACTACACTATAAATGGAAGGACTAAAGTAAGTATATGTCAAGGATGCTTTACTAACACCGGCCCCTCATGTCATCGTGGTTTTGAAGGCTTCATGCATCGTCCGTTCAATCTGCTAATAGCCTGTTTCGTTGAAACTGATGCAGCTCAATGTTGGGATTTTTATTATTTTGTATTGGTGTTTTTTCAATGGATGATGCAGGGTGGCCAATGGCTGATATAAAATGCTAAAAGATGCATCTTTATTATATCCAGGGCTTTTTTTGCTCACCGGCTACTGTGTCTAGTGGTTTTCCAGTTACTAGCCACTCAGCATTGTTACTGGCCACAATTTTAACATCGATACCATGGGGGAAAACTGCCATATAGATATTAATATCTCATAATTTGGCAGCATGTATTAACCTGACTCACGGATCCATTATACTGTTACACATGCATTTTCTTTCTCAACTGTTTACGTTCACTTAAAACATAACTGACTGATTTACGTGAATACTCACCAACTCAGCATTTTTGACATTATTTTGTGTGCATTTGAATGTTTAAGCGCAATAAGCAGCGAAGAAGACTCAATTTAGTGCTGAGAGGCCGCTTTATGTGCGCCAACTTTCGGTGTGTGAGCACAAAATCTGCGGGACTAAGTAAAATTATGTGCAATACGTGCAATCCCTTGCCGAAATTCAAGCCCTGTAACACCAACAATATTCATCCAGAGCAAATGCAACGAGTGAGTGAGGAGAGGCGGGTGTGTGTTACTCGCATTCGGAGAGAGAGAGAGAGAGAGAGAGAGAGAGAGAGTGCAGCTGGTGTCATGTATTCTGTGGAAAATGACTATTGGAAGCGTTTCAGATATTCCAGTATTGATATCGAAATATCTATATTTTTGACAACACTACATTGCACTTAGTTTATTATTTTAGATGCCTTTTAAAAAAAAACGGAAAAAAAAATGTAATATATCAAATCGAAACTAAAACAACACAAATGGAAGGATGGGGACTTTGCAAATATTTATAGTGAAAACACTTTGCAGTTCCAGCTCGGCACACCTGAACATGTTCTCAACCGACTTCATGAGGTGCATCCTGGGAACTGAAGGAGTTGACATGTGTGCTGCACATATATGATGATCTTGCACACGCTTGCTTCATTAACAAAAGCCAGAATTACAATATTATCTGATCAATGCTTAAATCTTGGCTTGTTCAATCAGTCTGTTACCATTTAGTATGGATACTGTTTGACTTGTCCGGTTTGATGTCTTATTACTGAGTAATTATAGTGAAAACGACACTTGAGCTGGAATTATTCTGGTTAAATTCAGTGCATCATTTCCAGAGTAACTGCATCCTTGCTTTTTTTTTTTTTTTTTTTTGGCAAGTGATTTATTCCTTTATTTTTGGGTTAGGTAGGAAAATGATACTTTCAGCATAGAAAATTACAGTGAATATGTATATTCAGATTTTACCCTCGTACATGGCACAGTTTAAAGATGATCTCTGCAACACAAGCAGTGATGGCAGTTCCCTAACCTGAAAAACCTTTGTTTGTGCATTAGCTGGAATATAGTGGTGCATGTGGCATTTGTTGTGTCTGTTAGAGTAACACTTTCGCTTTTTCTTTGTAATTTGAAAAACTGCCTGTAACATTAATAACAAGGTCATATTTAATTGCAGGGAGTGCATGGACTGATAAAACGATGCAACCTTGAATGAAATGCAAGTCTGCATAAATGTACAGTACATATAGGTGGGTCAAATATTCTTAAGATTTGATATAATAAACACAGAACAGAAACAGAAAGTCTAAATCAGTACCCGTTTCTACGTACAGTATGTTCTACATCCGAACTTGCCATGACAGCCAATAAAAAAAGAAAAAAAAAGATTGTTTCTCAGATGAAGTAGTTTGGCACAGTGCAAGTCTATGCTCTCATGATGATATACTACCACTCAAAAGTCTAAACACACTTGACTGAATTTGTTTTTAATGGTCATAAAAACTTTCATACATGATTGTGCTTAAATACCTCAATATTATCGCATCTAACATAAATATATATATATGCATACACACACACAGTTTGAAAGCACTAATATAAACAATGTTTTTTAATGTATTAGTTGGAGAAGACGGTAAAGAAAAAGCCGTAACACTTTACTTGAAGGGGTGTGCATAAGACTGACATGACACCTTCATAATCATGACAGGACACATGTCATGAATATGAAGGAGGTGTTATGCATGTTTATGACAACTGTCATTAAGTGTCATTCGCTCAATTATGACATTTTTAATGCAAAAATGACATTGTTTGATATGTCTTTGTTATGACAACTTGACATATACCAATACATCATAACCTGTCAGTGTCTTGGTAATGACAACTTGACATTACCAAGACAACATAACCTGTCATAAATATGTCATAAACATGACATACCAGATTAATTAAGAAACCACTTAGCTTTATGGGTTAACATTAAACTGTCATGTGATTGGTTTTGACATTGGCTGTCATGGGGCATTATAACTGTGTCATGAATATTTTTCTTGACCTCAACTACAGTGGTATAAATTTAATTTGTCATTAAAATGTCATTTAATGACATTAAGTAGTTTCTTAACCTCTGAAGCTAAGTTTGATAATTAATTTATCAAGTTGATAATTAATTATTGATAATTGATCATTAATCTGCTTTGTCATGTTAATGACATTTATGGCAGGTTATGTTGTCTTGGTAATGTCAAGTTATCATAACAAAGACATCTCAAACAATGTCATATTTGCATTACAAATGTCATAATTGAGTGAATGACACTTAATGACAGTTGTCAAACATGCATAAACCCTCCTTCATATTCATGACGTGTGTCATGTCATGATTATGAAGGTGTCATGTCAGTCTTATGCACACCCCTTCAAGTAAAGTGTTACCGAAAAAGCTACACCTTCAGCAGTTTAAAAGCATGTTTTGATCACTACATGATTCCCATATTTCCATTTCTGTAAGAGTTTGAGGACTTCACTTTTATTTTAAATTGTGGCAAAGAGCAAGAATAAAGCGTTAAGGCCACATTTGCATTTGTATGTCGCTGTTTTTAGTGCATCCAAGCCTCGTTCAGGCCTCAGTTTCACTTTAGCCTTGCGTGTGACCTCAGATCTCACTGTCCCTGAGTATATCAGCGCGACTGACCCACGAGACCCACACACACAGAGTCGCTCGTCCAGCCCCGCTAAACCCTCCCTCTCTTTCATATTCAACCACAAATGATCATGCAAGTTACCTTGATGTTTAGCGGGTCTCTGCTTACTACAGTTTCCTTTGTGCTGCTGTGAAATCCCTCCAAGTAAACACACAATTAAGTTTTGTTGCTGTAACCGAGCTCTTTCATAGATCTGTCGATGCTGTCTTTTTCTCTGTAATTTAACGTTTATGTAATTGAGCAAGTCAGCGTTTCATGGCACATTTTTATGCACATTTATAATATAGACAAACCCAACAGTTGGGTTTAAATTTTGTAATAAAAATGTTGGTCCCACTTTATATTAAGTGGCTTTAAGTACTATTACATCAAAAAATAAGTACTTATTGTGTTGATGTTGTATTGTTAAACACATTTGCTGCTATTGAGGTGTGATGCGGGTGAGGTTAGGGACAGGTGTGTGTGATATGGGTCGGTTTAAGGCTGGGTTAAGGTGTAAAGGAAGGGTCAACCGTGTAATCACAAAATGAAATTACATAAATTAATTACAGCTGTAATTACATGCTGGTATTTTTAAAATATAAGTACAATGTAAAAACATGTATATGTACACAATAAGTCCATTGTATCAAATTATTAATTTCAATGTAAGAAAATAGTACTTAAAGCCGCTTAATATAAAGTGGGACCAAAATTTGAAACCCAATGGTTGGGTTTGTCCATTTTTGACTCAAACAACGGTTTAAACAACCCAGCATTTTTTAGAGTGTAGTCCCCTTTTTTTAATATATATATACACTCACCTAAAGGATTATTAGGAACACCTGTTTAATTTCTCATTAATGCAATTATCTAATCAACCAATCACATGGCAGTTGCTTCAATGCATTTAGGGGTGTGGTCCTGGTCAAGACAATCTCCTGAACTCCAAACTGAACGTCAGAATGGGAAAGAAAGGTGATTTAAGCAATTTTGAGCGTGGCATGGTTGTTGGTGCCAGACGGGCCGGTCTGAGTATTTCACAATCTGCTCAGTTACTGGGATTTTCACGCACAACCATTTCTAGGGCTTACAAAGAATGGTGTGAAAAGGGAAAAACATCCAGTATGCGGCAGTCCTGTGGGCGAAAATGCCTTGTTGATGCTAGAGGTCAGAGGAGAATGGGCCGACTGATTCAAGCTGATAGAAGAGCAATTTTGACTGAAATAACCACTCGCAACATGACATCATGACTTTGCGTAAACATACACGCCACTTTCAAGTCAAGTGGCGTGTTATCTATACGCATTTTGAGCTATCCTTGTGTATGTCCCATGGTATGTCCACGCCGAAACGAACCGTCATCTTTTGCGTGTATGTCTACGCCGTTAAACGTCCGAGTGATTCCGCGTGTTTGTGTATGTGTACGCCGTTAAATGTCCGAGCGAAACGAAGCAAAATTCATATCTACATCTGTGGAGCAATATTTTTTTTCCTAGGATGGTAGGGGAAGACTCATAAATGGTATTAACGCCAGTGACGGGTAGGTTTAGGGACGGGGTTGGGGTAGGTCATATATTTATATATAGGCTACACAGTAATGTAACGTTAAGTCAAAGGCGTTGATAAACACGCTGAAAAGCGATTATGCGTGTTGATAGCACGCCAAAAATGGAAATACGAATTGGCGTGTCATACATACGCCATTTCATGAGATCAGTCTGCCACTCGTTACAACCGAGGTATGCAGCAAAGCATTTGTGAAGCCACAACACGCACAACCTTGAGGCGGATGGGCTACAACAACAGAAGACCCCACCGGGTACCACTCATCTCCAC